AAATATTTTTTGGTTAAAATGTTTATAAAATAGTCTACATAATTGTTTTTAAAGTTACTATAAAAAATATCCTAAAATTATTTTTTAACAATCTCGGATTATGAATTTAACCTGAAAGAGTTAGCAAAAAAATTATTTCTGAGTTAAAAATCTTAGATTTTAACCAAGAATTGGAGATAGTCTGATAGCACCATTCTGTTTCAATTGAATTATTAAATTGCGTTTCTTTTTCTTTTCAAACTCGTAATATAAGAAAGTGAAGGGAAACATGTAGTGGTAAATAAATAGTAGTGTGATTTGTACATAAAGCAAAACGGAACGGATTGCATCAGCTTGGACGCTGATTCGACCTTTATCCACAACTTTTCTTTTTCCAAAGGACATTAATTGAAGACTCACTCTATGGTCTAGCCGAAGATTTTTTGTATTCAAGATATGGGTAGTGTATAATGTGTCATTAAATAAGTAGAGAAATATCTTATTTTTTAAGTTGTTAATTTTTTAATACAAGTATTTCATTACTTGTATAGTGGCACATAATGTCCCACTCCGTATATCAAGTACAATAAAAAAATCTCTTGAAAACTTGTAGTTGTTATCATTTATCATAGGGAAATACCTAGAGCTCTCTCTCTCACTCTAACCCACTCATCTTCTTCAATTTTTACATTTTCATTTGAAGGTTTTGTGAATTGGGTTTGCTTAATTTTGCTTTTTGATTGATCGGTTTTTGAAGTTAAAGTGATTGGTTTGGTGTTTCTTGGAGGAGACCAAAATCCTTTAATTTTTATTTTTTATCATTTCTCTGATTTATATATGGGTTTTCATTACTTTTGTCTTCTCCCTCTCTCTGCTCCCTCTTTTGATCCAAATTTACAAGCACTAAAATAGGGTTTCGCTTTTGCTACAATTAAATGAAAAAAATTGTATTAAGGGTCAGTTGCCTTTTGGAGAAGAGATAAATTTGAGGGAAAAGAGAGAAATCAGAGTGGAAAGAAGGAAGAGAGAAGGATATGGACGAAATTGTTTCGCGTACTCGTTTGCTCTCTTCGTATTAAGCTCACTCATACACTGTATGTACACGTCATGTACGCAACATGCATATGACGTGCACATGATATCCACATGTTATGCTCATAGATCTGAGCTCAACCCAAAAGCCCATAGCTCACAGCTCTCTCTTCGAAATCAGCAAAATAACGCAATCATATAAATGACCGTATGAAGAATCGAAGATTCATTAATTTGAATTTGGTACCAAATTTGATTGGGTTCAAATATTTCAAGGATTTGAAAGTTTCAGTTTGAATGGGTACGAAAGAACCCAATTGTATCAAAGGAAATTGTTTCACGAACTCGTTCATTTTTTTTCATATTTGCAGGTCTCAAACGAAAGTGTAGTAAACTACGTTAATGCGAAGAGTATCAAAGATGTAAATACGCACCATATACACTATATGCAAACCAAATGCACATAATATGTACAGTACATGCACATGATATATACAGAACGGGAGAAACTTTAGTGGCAACATATTGGTATAGTGGATACAATTAAAATATAACTGTTACATATATAAGGTTACCGTGACAATTTGAAAAGTCTTGTTATGTTTATCAACAACTGCTTAACCGTGCATGTGGAAAACTGATACTCGTTGTCGTTATTTCATGGATACGCATGACCCTTAACGTCCTCTAACTTTTTCTTAATTTTGTTTTTCGCCGAGGCCAACTAAGTTGTGGTCATACTCGCTCAATTCTATGGCACAATATACGTGCAGCATAACTAGTGACCATTCCCGCTTCTCATATTAAAATGTAGCCATGCACACCATATGCACACCTCATGCACACTACGAAAACAATTTCACAAATTTCTGCAATTGAATACTTGAACCAGAAATTGTTCCATCCCAGTTTTCCAACACGTCAAAACTTGAAATTTATTCCACAACTCATATGCCACAACGTGAAACACAAACCCTATTTTAACTTTTAAGTATTAATTCATCTTACAAACAATTCATTTATTCCATATATCGTTGATGAAGGAACTTAGAACTAAACACTCTACCTTACTAAGCCTGCCGAAGCTTTAGTCGCCGAAAAAAATGGAAGTTTCCAGCCAAAATAGAAAATATGGTACAAAACCCAGCTCACTCTTCTCACCTCTCTTTGAACTTCCCTCTCTTCAAAATCGGAACTCAGATATCTGAGCTCAACCTAAAAATCCAAAGCTCACGGAGCTCTCTCGACATCCCTCTTCCAAATGAGAACAATGATGCAATAGGTTGTTGATTTTTAGTATTTATATGTGGGTATTTTAGTAATTTCAGTTTTGTACATGGTGTGCATGGCTTGTGTAGCCGATTTGTCCTATTTCTGTCCCAAGATTCAAAAATTGTCTCATTTTGAAGAATTTTCCTTTATCATATGGTCTAGATGAAGGCTTGTACTTGTCATCATAATAGCATATTCAATATTATTATCTTTTTTTATATTTTACATTGTTGCAGTTGTTTTATATAAAGGTTTATCGATAACACTCTATTTTTTTTTTTTTTTTTGCCAAAATCCCTTATATAATTATATTTTACCAAACTCTATTTCTATTACTTAAGTCTTTCAGAGCAAAAATAGATTTTTTTTTCGAAGCAAAGTAAATATCAACCTAGCCCTTAATAATGAAATTTGTACGAAAAGCAAGACTGATGGCATCAGCTTGGACTTGATTCGATCACTTTTATTTTTCCACAAATTTTCTTTTACCCAAGGACACAGTGGAAAACTCAATTTACCTTACGCTCTAGCTGAATCTTGTAGTTAGAAAAGATTTCAAGTATGACAAAATTGTTACTATCAAGGTTCTAAAAGATGCTAGGCATTAATCGAGTTGCGGACTAAACCTAGCGCTTAGGTAGCTTGACAATGTTTAGACGGATTTAAGTAAATTTATTATATATTATATAAATAAATGCATATTTATATTTAAAAACATACATAATTGTATTGAGATACATACATTGCAAAATAAAATAACATAAATTATAAAGTATTTGAAACATGGGAATAAGCATATAAATTATAATGAGTGTTTATCCAAGTATTCAGTAAGTTGGATTTGGGTCCCATCTGGATCCAAATTGTAGGGATCCTAGGATTCTCACATCCTAACCATTCATTATACATCATATGGTCAGAAATTATTTTGAATTTTTTTATTTAAAATTAAATAGAAATAGCACCTAACGAAAACTAGCCGCATGATGTATGATAAATGGCTAGGATGTGAGGATCTGGATAAGATCCTCATCCCAATAAGTCTCCTACATTTTATTGAAAACTTAAAATGTAAACTGAAAGTTTTTGATTTTCTATTTAAGTGAGAGTCGAAACCAAGGCGGGCGCCTAAGCGGGTTTAGATACACTTTCTTATTTTTCAAAGGTTTAAGAATTAATCGGGACAGTAGCCAATTACCTAACACCAAAAATTTTTAGAACAGTGGTTACTATTAAGTTCTAATTAAAGTTGAGTGTGAATAGTATAAGGTTAATTATAAAACAAGTCTTGTTCAAATATGACCATTTCGTGGTAGGCCATCTGAGCTTGAATTCGAATAAAGCATGCATTCATATGTATTAAGTTTTGCGTCAAAACACAACCCAACCATGCACAATATCCTTAGTAGCCATGTGTGGGCTAAGATTAGTGAAAGAAACTTAAAATTTAGTGAAAAAACCTTTGTTCAACTAAACCGACAAATTGTCGAGAAGTGCCTTTGAATGCATGTGATCTTCCCTCCGAGGAACACATTGGTGATATTCCTTAAGCAATTTCACACCCTAAACATAATATTATCATCAACCTTGAATACATAAAATAGCATATTGTGTCAAATTAGCTAGTTTACAAACTTGGAGTGTATATAGATCTGCTGTCTTGCACCAACTCCCAGTCTAGAACATCCGTCCTATGTTACTATATTTTGTACCGATGATGTCTATGATATATCCACAACAATCGATTGGTTTTGTTATTAATTTAACATTTTATCAACAATGTAAGCAACGCATTATGCACCCCATATTGACAGTTAGACCTTTAATATTAAAAAAAAAATTAAGGTTTAATTATAAAGTCAATTGGTAATATGAGAAATAGTCAATTTACTTATAAGGATTCATTCTCAATAGACTCTCTCACATATGACGAATTTTCAAGCCTAATACGTGGACAACACATATCGAGTGACGTGTTCGTAAGTATTATATACATACCTTCTCCCTGCTAAACTCAACGACTTTCTCTTCAAGGACATTGACCTCTGTAACATTAATGGTAGGTTTACGTACCCGTAATCGGAAACAAAACACGGAATTGAATTCCGATTACGTGACACACATTTGTTTACCTAACATGAGGAATCAAAATTTATGTGGGTCCCATCCAAATTCTGGAATCCAATTCTGTTGTTGGAGAATTTGGACTCCCTATATGAGGGAAGGATTTGGATTCCGAAAGAAGTGGGTAATCGGAATGGACTTATTCTACCAATTTTGTCCTCAGTTGGTTTTTATTATTCCAACATGGCCCTTCATCTCCCCAGAGAAACATTGCCCAGCTCTAAAAAAATTTCATCTCCTCACCACCGCACCCTCCCCCACCCAGGGCCACATCTCATGCCCACTGCAACCACTCCCAACCATCTCTCTCTGTTTGTCTCTAGAGAATTTTGTAATCAGAACACTAGAAGTGAGCCATAAGCCTGTTGAGCAAAGCTAAACTTCAACCTGTAGACATAGGTTTATCACCATGTATTTAACAACCCCGCCTTTTTTTTTCTAGGTTAATATATTTAAATATTTTAGTAGCAATTGTATGGTGAATCATAGTCCAGAACTTAAAGGCATTGTGTAGCTGCAGAACCATATGATTATAAAATAAGAGAACATAATTTATATCAAAAAGATAATTTAAAATAAAAGGACTGAAATCCAAAACGAGACCGTTATCAAATTACATTAATCTTCCTGGGCTTTGAGTAGATATCACTTCCAAAATAACACATCAAAACAGAGTCCAAATCAACCAAAAGTACAATAGATCTAGACAGGGACCTTCAGACAAAGGTCCTAAATTACATGACATCTAAAAAAGTTTGAAACCCAAATCTACGTAGGTCATTACATTTCATCACCAGATATGCAAAACAAAATATCATTCAGAAACAAACGCATCGTAGAAAATTCAGATTGCTCATTCCACAATACTTGCAGTTGAAGTGCACGCTTCATTCTCTTTTTTTTTTTTTTTTTTTTGAAAGAAACACGATATTTTATAGAAAGAACCAACACACTACAAAAGATCCTGGTTGAGAAGGTCCTGAACGAAATCAGGAGGATCCTCTAACCATACAAATTTATTACCAATTGAGATGGCAAACTTAGCTAATCTATGGGCAACTCCATGCACACTTCATTCTTATCAAGGAACACGGTGGTCAGAACCAAGTTTGACTGCAACGATGCCCTCAGCAATTTGACACCCTACGTACAAGGTTCAGATCACACATTAGGTCGACTGTAAAATATGGACTCACAAAATTGAGAGAACAAAAAAAAAAAAAAAAAAAAAAAAAAAACCCAGATGTGATTAGGTACTTTTCAGACCTCTTCAATGGTAAGATGGACCACTTTCTCTTCGAGGGCACCGACATCCTTGACGTTGAACCTGTTTAGTATGGTTATGCATGAAATGCTAGACAAGGGCTTCACTTCCAGGTCATCCGTAATCATATACGTCACAACATCTTTCACATACCCTCTCTCGCCGGACGTTGGTCTTTCAGCAGCGGATCGATGGACAAAAGTCGCCGGGGAAGTTATGCTTAAACGGCAGTGCGGACAAGTGGCTTTAGGGTCGTCGGTTACAACGATTGGCCGGCCGCTGTAGTTACAACAACAATTACGACAACCATAGATTGACTTTTCAGCAGAGGAGTCATCTGTCGTCAGCATATGAAGGACATCAGCACCAACATCAATTGTTGCTGTTGCCTTAGGTTTCAGGAGGGATTCCTTATTAAAGTGTGGTTGCATGTATGTGCTACTTAGGCTTTCGACACTGCCGTAAAGCTTGCCTAACGAGCCAACCATGCCATCTTTGGAGAGGAGCCGGATGACAGTGCCAAGAGGCAAAGACAGGATTGTGAGGAGAAAGTCCACAAACTCTTTGCCAGCTTCAGCAAAGAGAACTCGTCGACCCTTTGTATCGATGAGGAGCTTCAAACAAACACTTGGATTGGAGGTTGCCATGTACACAGAGAGCTTTGAGTATATTTTTCAAGCAACGTAAGTTTAGTGCATCGTACTTGCAATAATGGATCTATTTATAGAATTTTAACCCTTCATTAAAAATACTTAGGCCACAAAAATGATTGATAAGTTTTAGTCGGTTTAGGGCTAGTTTGGTGTTGTGTTTTTTTTTTTTTTTTTTTTTTTTTTTTTTTTTTTTTTGTGTAGTGAGAATAACCATCTGTAAAATAAAGTTGTATTTTTTTTTCTTTTTTTTTCTTTTTGTAAAAGTGTTTACAACAAAATAAAACAGTATCTGAGTGTTTGATAAACTTTCATAAAACTATTGTTAATATGTTAAATGATTAAAGAGGATATGGTGTTAAATGTGATATAATAGTTGTCAAAGATAATAACGCTGAGAAGCTCGCAGGCTAGTTGCCTCTGAGACCACATGGATCTCAAGGACTACAGAGCTCCCCAAAAGCAGATGCTACTGATTGATGAGATTTTTTGTGTTGGGGAAGGCTAAAAAGAAAAAGAAAAAATGGCAAAAGAAGATAAGTATAGTAGAAGAAAGGAACTTTGAACATAAGAAGGACAAGATAAGCACTCACTGGGTTGCTACAGTCTTCTACGAAGTGTAGTATCTCTTCAGTGCTTGGATCAAATTGAGAAGCGGACTCTCTAACCTTAGCCTACAAAAGTAAAAGACAAGTGTTAAAGCTTTGAGATTGGTAAAGATACAAGCCTAAAGAATGAAAAAGAGATATACTTTTGAAGACTTGGCCCGAGGAGGATAAGCTTGTACCATTTAGGCTGGAGGTGAAAAGGCCTCGGACGGAGAGATCATTTCTTCCCTTATGGCCTATTTCAGAAATCGGGGGGAAAGTCAAGAAGAGAGTAGAAAAGAAGAAAAAGGAAGAACTCAAAGGAGTGGAACTTAAGGTGCAAGCTATACCTCCAATGCTTCCAGGGTGGAATCTTGCAGATTTTTGGCCTGTTAATACATCTTGACCCCCTGGGGATCCTCCTTTGAGACGATAGTCGGCTTCTTGGTCGCTTGATGCCCTATATTAGAAGAAAATGAAGTTGTTATCTCTTAAGCAAAAAATACAAGTAAGAAGGAAGCGTTGAAACATGATTCACTTACTGGAAGTCTTCTACTTTTTTCTGCCCGCTTCAACGAGAAAAACAGTGGAAGACTTGGAAGACTTGAAGGGTTTGGCAGTCTGTGCCCTTGCTCTTTTCTTTGGGGTTGCCCTGCTGACTAGGAATGGAGATTTAAGCTCGAGGTCACTCCTCGGGATCGGACTCTGAAGAATTTATCACCAATGCCCGAGTTCAACAAGTTGCCTGAATTTCCATAACAAGCTCAACCTTGCCTTCTGAGTCCCCAAGTGATTCAGAAACATCCCCACCTACTCCAACACATTGTCTTTCTACTTCAGTCACGACTTATTGAAGCACAACAGCATCCCCAGCCTCTTCATCTTGTCCGACATCCATAGCATCCTCAGCCTCTTCATCTTGTCCGACATCCATCTCAGCGGAGTTACCTTGAGCTGCAAGTGTAGGTAAACCCAGAAAAGTATCAAAAAAAGGTAGATTCATAAAATTTCATAAAATTACAAGTTAAAGAAGTAAGAAGTACCTATTAGAAGGAATTGGTTCTTTTGATGAATCATTTGCTTCTAACTATCAAGCTTACTCGGCTTAGGATAAGACTTGATGAAGATATGCTTGAAAAGGCGATCATGTGCTTCGTGTGAGTCTCCTCCATACTTCTTTGTCCACCTTGCTTCCTACCAAGAAGCGAAGCTTGAAGTACATTTGATAAGGGCCATAAGTTTTTTGGTAACCTTGCTCATGACCTCAAGGCTGCGTTGGGCAACTCGGAAAGTGACTTCTGGAGGAGAGTAAAGACAGGTAAGAGGTAGCTACATTGAACAGAGTAAAAAAGAGGATTGGAATAGCTTGTCTGAAGCCCAGCTGCCTGGTACAGAAGTTTGGACTTGTTAGGCAAAACGTGCTTGTTAAGCCAGTATAGTAGAAAATACATGTGTTCTTGGTCTCTGTTAGCGTTGGGGGATGAGGGGCCAAATTCCTTTTTAGCAAACGGGATAAAACCCGTGAAGGAACTTCCATAACTCTTGAAAGTCGCAGAGTTATACTCCAATTGAATCATGGGACCAGAGGTGCCTGAGCTCTCAACAGTCGGGGGAGAAGGAGGTGCCCAGTCATGAGTAACATCTACGACTATGCCAGAGGGTCTTAGCCTAAAGACTTGTGTCATATCAAGAATGATTGGGAACATTGAGCCCATCCTGAAGTCAAAAGTGTTTGTTCCCGAATTTCAAAAGAGGAGTGCAATTGTCAGTAGCTTAGGCTTGGCAATGACAGTAGTCTTCGAGAACATTATCACTCGTAAATACCGTTGTTCATCTATTTCTGTTTGAAGGTGGGCTAGCGCTCATTTATCCATTGCGTCCAGCCTTCATCTTTCATCAGAAGGAACCCACGATGGTGGTTTGACCATTTGGAGGAAGAAATGCCTGACTTAGCCTGAAATAGGTTGGGAGTGAACCATTTTTCCTTAGGCATGTTGTTTTCAATAGCAACGGGGACCTAAGAAGTCCATGCAGGCCTTAAGGAGTGCGTTCTTCCCCCCTTGAAGAAAAGTTTAGTGTGCAGGCCTGCCCGATGACAATGAAGGTCGTTGAGTAAACGGCGCATGATGGTAATCCCCTCATCAGTCTTGCAGAGAGATTAAGTTCGAGCAACTTTGGGTGTCATTGGATGATTTTGCAGAGAAGATGGGAAGAACTAGGGGCCAAAAACTGAAGAATAAGAGAAGTTTTTGGAAAGATCTGAAGGCTCTAAGAATTTTGGGAAGTTCTGGGAATTTGAAGGCTCGAAATTGCTAAGATACTTTGCCGAGGAGTTTAAGTGAAGATTATATAGTAAGTGGTTAATTAACGATGGAATTCATGGGTTAGTGCAAGGGTTTTGTTAAACAACGGCTGCTTTAAATGGTGCAAGTCCCGAGTGAAGGCGTGCGACGGTTATTTAATCATTATTAGCATCTTGGGTTGCAGATTCAACAATGATTAAATGGGGCATTATTTGGGTTAATATTTGAACATTGGACTTAGATGAAGAAAAAACCTACGGGTGCCAAATTAAAGGGGACTTGCCGGAAGCTTAACACCAAGTGTAAAGGCAAAGTGAAGCATTCTCAGCCAAGATACAAGCCACATGCTTACCACTGAAGTGACAAGTGATGAAGACTAACCTTCACATGCTTACCAGCCAAAGAGCACTTTCTAGTGGCATTCCAAGTAAAAAGCTAACGACTCACTATCCTTCAGATGCTTTCGGGCAAGAACAAAGTTATAGCAATCGGGCTAATTTGCCTATAAAAGAAGGAAGAGGCCCCAAAAACAAGGACATTCAACCAATCAAACATACAAACTCTACTTTTAAGCCAAATTTGCATCCAAAAGCTGAAATCAACCCAGATTCAGTCATTTTTAGCGACAATTGATCTCTTGTCCAGTTTAAAGCTCTGATATCTCCTTTAGTGGCGTAATATTAATTCCCTTATGTAAACTTATTTACCATCCACCCCTTTTTAGCATATAAACCCTTGTTAAATCAAAGAGAAGTGATTGCAAGAAGTTCAACCTTGACAGACAAGGTGAAATCTTGCCCGACGCTCATTGTTAGTTTTCTAAATTTGTAGATCTATTACTTAATGCTTTCTCCAATATGTATTCAAGTTATTTCCATCAGTTTTCCTTTTTTAAGAGTTCCATTTGCATCTGGATGTGGTTAGTTTAATGGATATGTCATCATTAAAATCAATCAAGAACTAAGCAAACAGCTTAAGGGGATATGGACTCCATTCATTCAAACATACAAGACTATGAACTAAAAGTCCTTGTTTACAAGGCAAGAAAAAGAACTTAATGTGAACTTAACTCATCCACAACAATTCTTTGATAACAAGAAGTCCGATTAACTTGAGGCGCAAGTGACTAAAAACACTCTTATTTTACATCTGTTATATTAGATAGCAGTGGCACGCCTAGCACTTAGTTAGTTTTGATTGCGAGCCTCAAGGCCTACACCTAAGGCCTCACAAAGGCACCTTTTAGAACTAACTTTGTCCTCTTCTTGTAGCACATCAACAAGCAAAAGCCCGACTACACATCCAAAGTGCCAATCCCTTAGGGAGCTGTGATGAGGTCCAAGGATCCTTTTCTAGAGAAATCTTCGCCCAAACATAATTTTGGCATGCCCAGTGGGACCTCATTTAGTCTTGTATGCCATGAAGGATAAGGAATGATAAAACCTTCATGTGGAACACATAATACAGGCCACCCCAGTGTTTACCAAGATCGAGCATGGCAAATCAGCCAGAGGATTTTCTTCCCCTCCAAGGACCAGCTATTCTAGAAAGCACGACTTCATTTGAAAATCAGGAAGGAAGGTAACCAATAAAGATTTGTAAGCTACCATGGTACAAGTGCTAAAAAGTATGAAGAATATCACTTTGGAAACCAGAGGAGAAGTGAGTAAACTCTGTTCCTTAACAGGGAGTTTACAAAGAAGATTAGATATGGAGTACTCTACTCTAAAGAATGGTTATGCCAAGGAAATGATGAGGGATGCAAGCCTTGAGAAAGAACCAGTTATCCTCCTATTTCATTTGCTTGAGGAAAAGAGAGATAAAGGAAAAAACAAGGAAGGATCTGGAGCTAGTCAGTTAGTGTTGGAGGAAATCCTAGAAGCAGAGTTGCCTGACCCCCTATTATTTTCACTAGATAATATGGGGCAGAGTGGGCAAGAAGGAAAGAAAGTATGGGATGCCCCAGTTAATAAAAGAATCCAGTGGAAAAGGCGAGCCTACCAAGGCAGACAAGCCTCATCCTTATAGACCCCAACCATTGGCCAGCATAAGAGATGATGCTAAGTGGAGAAAGCCCAAACCAAGAAAAGAGACTTTCTCGAGCAATGATCGTAGCTCGAAGTGGGAACTTCCTCATACCCTTCCTAATAATGCAGTTAACCAACAACTTAGAGATGAA